GCGGTGGACGCGGAGTCGGAGATCGCCATAGCGGCTGATGACGAATGTGAGAGACCAGAAGAAGATGGTGGGTCAGGGAAGGACGGTGGGTTGATGTCAAACGAGCATGCCCCATTCGCGACAAAGGTGAGGGGGCCGAAGATCAATCTCTCTGCTGGCGCGAGCTCGCCAAACGTGATGGACAACACCATATGAAAAAGAATATGGGCATAATCCTTGGGACTCTTGCACCTCTGTTCGTATAAAACGAATGCTCAACATACGAAAAAAATTCATAGGAAGAAAATCCTACAAAATTCTAAATCGAATAAGACCTAACAAAATAAAAAAATGCTAGAAAATTTACGTCAGTTATTTAGACATGACAATTCCTGGCGAAAAAACTAAACGTGGCAAGGATCTGGCATGATTGATAAAGAAAACTTTGAATCTCACGAGTCACGACAACATAATTTGTCATCTCAAATGTTTGATTTGTCATGCTTGATAAAGTAAACTGTCATCCTCACGAGCCACAACAACATAATTTGTCATCTCAAATTTTTGATTTGCCATGCTTAAAAACCCGGCATTCAGTATGTAGCGAAATTCAAAAAATACTACCGTACACCACAAAATATTATAACCGGCACTCCCTATAAGCATCTGGTCCAAACATTTACGTGAATCCTGCCTTGATGCCCGCTAAGCAGGTGCAGAGCCCATGAGCTCCCACGACACCGCCGGCCCGACGTTGTGAAATCCAAAAAATACTACACCACAAAATATTATAACCGGCACTCCCTGTATGTATCTGGTGCAAATATTTGCGTTTTTTAAGGCAAAGTCGAAATATTTACATGAGTGAATTCCACTTTTTACCCCGTAGTTTTACATTTGTGACACTAATTACCCCATCGAGTGAAAATTCGCCTAGAATACTCTTTTTGAAAGCTTTGGACCCTCATTTTCTGATGCATATCCATCACGTAAGGTGTGAGAGATGACGCCAGGGGTCCGAAAATATGTGATGACGATGAGGAATGGATATGGACAAGAGAAGCCTGGACATGATCGTCAATGATGCCCTCTGATCTTTACATATTCTTTTACGAATCATTGACACAACATGCCAATCCTATATAACATAAACAAGGAAAATGCAAAACTAGGTAAAACCAAGTTAAATGCCTCCAAAATCTGCTATTTTGATAGAAGGTTCACTAAATAGGGTAATATGTATCAGAAATGTACAACTACAAGGTAAAAGGTGAAATTCACTCTATTTACGTGAATCCTGCCTTGATGCCTGTAGTTCAAATATTTACGTGAGTAGGTGCAGAGCCCACGAACTCCCACGACACCACCGGTCCGACGTTTTGAACCTGTATCCCCTGCCGACGTCGTGGACGACGTCCAACCACCGGCAGGCACTTTGCAGTCCTGGCCTCTCATGGCATCGCAGATCATTCTTTTGGTCAACTCTATTGTGTTCGGTCCTCTTTGTTTAGGGTAAAACGGACAAAGAAATCGGTCTAGCGCGCGACGGCCCGGACTCATTTTGTCCGTTTTGTGTCCGGGTCGATCCATTTCAAGCGCAAACTTGCGCCGGGTTTGAATCGCGACGGACATCAAACGGACGCGCGCCTCGTCCGCGTCGGGGCCGCGTGGCAGGCGGTCACCTATCTCCTACCCGCCCACATCAATGCATACGAGCGAGCGGCTCCACCTGTCATCCGCACGTCGAACGGTCGCCGTCCTTCTTTAAATGAGAAGCGTGGATGGATCATCGTCCACACTGCCCCATGCCATCCCGCGGCCTCCTCGAAACTCGACAGCCCCAGTCCCAAACCCTAGCCAACACCTCGCCGTCCGGCCGCCCACAGTCATGGGCCACAAAGGCAAGCACGACCACGAGGCTGGTTCCTCGTCGGGACGCCGCCGCGAGCCCGCGTCGCCATCCCACCACGCCGGGCCCCCGCGCCGCCCGCCTTCTCCATCGCGCCCACGTCCGCCGGCGAGCGCGACCGGCATTACATCCGCGTCGGTGTGCCGTCGTTATTGGGAGACAAGGACACCGCTCTCCTGGAGCGACGTCCATCTCCCCAATAACTGGCATCTCTCCGTCGACCGGGTCTCGATCCCGCTGGTCCCGACGAGCGGCCGTACGCGCGACACGGAGATCAAGCGCCGCCACCGCCTCCTCCCCGACGACCTCTTCTACGACCCCAGGTACGCCCCCGACTCCGGACTCTGGGACACCTGGTTTTGTGACGAGCACGACACCAGGCGCGCGTCGTTCTTCGCCGACACCTCGACGGGGCCGCGGCGGCCACGACAGCAGCACGCAGCGCCTGCTCCCCAAGAGCGCGGGCGTAGGCGGGTGCGTGGCGTCACGCCCACGCCGTCGCCTTCCCCGTCTCCGTCGCCACCTCCCCCTCCTCGCATGACAACGGAGGAGGAGGCCTATCTCCTGCAGCGTGTCATGGAGGACTCCATGAACACGCACGACGAGCGACAGTGGGACGGCCTGGAGGAGACCATGGCCCTCTCTGCCGCCGGGGACGTCGCCTTCCCGAAGCTGCAGATGGCGGCCGTCACGGAGGAGGCGATGGAGGAGGACCCGCCGGCCGCGTTCCAGCAGCTGCTGGGCCAGGGGTGGGGCTGGTCCTGCACTGCTCCGGAGATGGCCGTCGGCGTGGGCGTGAACTGGTGCCCCACTCCGCCGCGGTCACCGGAGCGGGAGGCGTCTCCCCGGGAGGAGGTGGTGCAGGCACCTCCGGCCGTCCAGCCCTCCCCCGTCTACCACGCACCGCCGGCCCACATGTGGACGCCGCCGGCCTACGTCGATCTCGTCAGCGACGACGACGACACCAACGGCCAGTGAAGACGACGACGGCACCGACGGGAGCGGCAGAAGCGCGCGGGAGGCGTGTTTTTATTTTGTTTTTTATATGTTAATTATGAAACTGGGCCTTTTAAGTGGCCGTGAAAACTAGGCCGTTTTGTGGCCGATCCCTATATATGTTTTATGTTTTTTTAATGCGTTTATTTACTTTTTTATTATTTCATTTTAGTTTTTATATATTTTTTATTTATATCCACCCCGGACATGATTTGGGGTGCGGCCGCGCGGTGGGCGCACGCACGATCCATCTGACCAAGCCGAATACGGACGAACTCATCGACGTCCCAAAAGGACAAAATCCGGTTAATCCGAACGTTCGTTTGAGATCACGCGGTGGAGTTGGCTTATGAAAAGAATGGTGTGGACGCAGATACCAGCCGACCCTCACCAGCTCCAACCAACGTCTCACCGTGCTCCAACCAATGGACAGTCGGTCTCACCGAACCCCCGCTCAAACCTTGCCAATTGTCGAGAAGCAAAGCGAAGTAGACACTTTTTCAGAGCACTGCTATGCTTTGGTCAAAAGAAAAATACTGGTACGCTTGTGGGCTGTTTGGGCCATGTCATTTGAGCCCAGCAAGCAGCCATTTAACAACAAACCCAAATGTAGGGACAGCGGTCAGTAGAAAAAGAGGTAATATCACCAGAAGTCATAGAACTTACGCTCGACGTTCAGTTTGATGTTAGAACTTTAAAAATACAAATTTGTGGTCATTTAACTTGACAACGCGTGTAAATACGGTCACAACATATGCATGTGGACGTATCAGGGTGTATGGCCCCACCTGTTAGTGAGTAGTGACACATGATGAACTTATTTTTACACAAAACACTCTCATATTTTTTATTTCCGAAAAAGTCAAATTAGTGAAAAATGGGAGAGAGCCTGGAATCCAACCCACGACCAATGTTCACCACAGAAGCCACTCTAACCAACAAGCCATCCCTGTTTGCATGTAACGTATGGATAGCTAAGTTAGATGTACTGAGAGCTTAAATGATATTTATTTTTTTGCATCTATGAGCAGTGGATGTACATCTGCAGCCCATTTAAGCTATTTTAGTGGTCCTTTTTTCTTACCTGAAACATGTAGAGGCGCGCACTGCTACAGTGATTCCCTTAAGCAGGATGAGAAGTCATGTCCAGATAGGTTGACGCATTAAGATCAACATATAATGCCATCAACACAGTACTTACAAGTTTTTTCTTTTGAGAAACACACAATACTTACATGTGGAGTGGTAAAACAATGTAAGTAATACTAATTGCACATCAGGATGGTTTGACATAGCAGTAAATACAGTGACATTTCATCAATCAAGCTCCTATGCATGGAAATCTGTTCTTTCTCCGTCTGTCACTCTGGCTGGCTCTTTTTGGCAGTATCCACAAGATGCGTGTCTTTCGAAAGGTGATCGTGCTGATGGCTTATTTTTTAACATATTGAGGCTCATTTTGCATTTGCAATTTCTTCAAGATATTTGTAAAACGTAATTAATAAAGTTATGTTCTAAGAATATTATACATAAAAACTATCATTAGTACATAAAAACATTTAAATATGAACTTGTGTATTATATGAAAAATAGTTAATACCGACATTGAAAATGTTTGTTAAATAAATATGTTTAACGAATCCAAAATATATAGACTCGCAGCTTATATTTAAATTATGCAAAATGATGAATTCAAACATTTACGTGCCTATATGCAGTACAATGTGGTTGTTAAAAAAATGTGAGGGTGTTTTGTGCAAAAATTAAGTAAGCTGAGTGCCACCACTCACTAACAGGTGGGGCCATACGCCCTGATACGTCTGCACGCGTATTTTGTGACCATATTTGCACGCGATGTCAAGTTAGATGACCATAAATCCGTATTTTTAAAATTGTAGCATCAAACTGAACATTGAACACAAGTTCTATGACTTAGGGTGATATTACCTCGTAGAAAAACATTCTTTTCTGTCCAGTAGAAAAAACATTTGTGTTCCCAAGGAAAGGAAGGAAGGATTCCCATCTCCCTCGATCCCCTTTCCTCTTGACTCGTGCCCCGCCCCGTCCGCCATGGCTGCCTCCCCCCGTGCACGAACATAGCTTCCCCCGCGCAGCCATGGGCACCAATTTCCCGCAGAGCCACCACCTCCAGACCACCCACTTGTCGCTCCCCAGGAAGCAATTCCTCTCCTACGTCCTCTACGCCCTCCTCCCCCTCGCGCTCCTCCACTACCTGCTCTTCAACCCGCTGGCCGCGCCCAAGCCGCCGCTCCTGGCGCAGCCGCAGGCGCGCGAGGCGGCGCCGTCCCAGCACAGGCACGCGCCCGTCAATGCGCTTGAGGAGCAGCTGCCCCCGCCCCCTCCCGCTCCCGGCCGAGGGGGCGAAGCATTGGGGGAAACTCAAGGTACGGTGTTAGGTTTTCCATTTGATTTCTCCTAGTGGTCCTCTGGCCGATTTAGCTCGTCAATTGAGCTTTCCCTCCAGCGGATTCCGTTTTGCTTCGATGATAAATTTCCCCCCTTTTTCTTGCCGTTTTCTGGAGTTCTAGAAGTATTTATAAAAGGCGCTCTTGATAAGCTCAATAAATAGCGGCCATGGTGGTTTTACGGTTGAAATGTGCAAGAAATGGCGTGTGATTTCACCCGCTTGTGCGGCATTTTGGGTTCCTGCGAGATTGTTTGGCGTAGTGGATAGTACTCCAGTACTAAATGTTTCCTTGTCGTGTTGGCCCGAGCAGGCGGAGACGTGTCGGCGTCAGGATCCGCGTCGCCGCCGTGCGACTACTCCGACGGCGAGTGGGTGCCGGACGCGCGCCCGCCGCTGTACGACGGCACGAGCTGCGGCACCATCAAGGACGGGCAGAACTGCATGGCGCACGGCCGCCCGGACACCGGGTACCTCCACTGGCGGTGGCGGCCACGGCGGTGCGACCTCCCCGCCTTCTCCCCGGAGGCGTTCCTCCGCTGGCTCCGCAACAGGCACCTGGCCTTCGTGGGCGACTCCATGGCGCGCAACCAGGGCGAGTCGCTGCTCTGCCTCCTCGCCTCCCGCTCCCGCCCGGACCTCGTGTACCGGGACGGCCAGGAGAACAGGTTCCGGCGCTGGGTCTTCCGGGAGCACAACGCCACCGTCTCCATCTTCTGGTCGCCGCTCCTGGTGCGGGTCGCCGAGAAGGCGGAGCACGCCGGCGTGCGGCACAACAACGTGTTCCTCGACTCGTTCGACGAGCGGTGGATGTCGCGGCTGGGCGGGATCGACGCCGCCGTGCTGTCCGTCGGGCACTGGTTCCTCATCCCCGGCGTCTACCACGACGGCGGCAGGGTCGTGGGCTGCCACGACTGCGCGGACCTCAACCGCACCGAGACGGCCTTCTTCGGCGCGTTCAAGGAGGCCGTGCGCCGCACGCTCGCCGAGGTCGCCCGGCGGCACGGCGCGGACAGCAAGCTGGTCGCGGTCACCACGTTCTCGCCGGCGCACTTCGAGGGGGACTGGGACAAGGCCGGCGCGTGCCCCAGGAGGCACCCGTACAGGGAGGACGAGAAGGGGCTGGGCTACACGGAGAAGGAGATGAGGAGGACCGTCCTGGAGGCGGTGGCCGCCCACGCCGGCGCCGGGCCCCTGCGGTTCGCGGCGCTGGACGTGACGAGGCTGGCCAACCTGCGGCCGGACGGCCACCCGGGGCCGTACATGCGCAGCGACCCGTTCGCCGGCGGGCCGGACGCGCGGGTGCAGAACGACTGCGTGCACTGGTGCATGCCCGGCCCCATCGACACGTTCAACGAGATCCTGCTGCAGACCGTCGCGGGGTGACCGCCAGTCCGCCATGATAGTGAGTCGGAGACATGTCTGATCGTGCGCTGAGTTCAGTTAATGATTCTTTTGCTCGTCGGTCAGACGATTAGGGTACGAGATAGGTCGTAATGAGAGCATCATTGGTTCCAGTCTCTGGAGAGAAGATTTGGAGACTTTGGAGTGGTGTCCTTTGCTATGATAGGTTGTAAGTTTCAGAAACAGATTGCTACTAGTTATCAGGGTTGTGTTTTGCTTGCCTGGACTCTCTTTTTTCATCTAGGAGTACTATATTATTAGCCGCTGAACCAATGTCCAATCATCTTCCCTCGTTTCATTTTGGGGAAATCCTTGTACTGCAAGAGGAACAATTTCGGGGACTGATGTTTCTGAAAGTTCCAAGCAACTAGCAGAACTGGATGTTTCTGAAAGTTCAAAGCAACCAGCAGAACTGGAAATACTCCTATTTGGGAGCTGAAGTTCTACTATGACGTGTTCTTCGGTGAGTAAATCTAGATGCGATACGTTTGTCACTACAACTACAAGAGGGGTCCTCTACTGCTGTCGTCGTACGTCGGTGGCGCTCTCTAGTCGCAGATACGTGTGGACGGACTGCGGCGAGGCATCTGATCTTGCTCTTGATCTGCACAAATTGCCAACATATTCGTGTGCTTTATTCGTCATGTGGCCTGCCGGCTTCCGGGGGAGTTGTGCCAAACCTCCTCCGCAAGGTTTGTGCTTATTTATCTGACCGCTTTTGACTTTTGCTTAGTGGCGTCCGTGTTTGGCTGTCCGACACTTTGATGCATCTCGTCCGGAAGTCCGGCTCGTGTTCGGCCTGCAGTCAGCTCATGTCATACACTTTGCATTAATTAGTCTGCGTATATATAAATTTGTCCAAAGTTATCTCTACTTTCATGACACTTATAGAAAAAAAAATATCAACATTTACAATGTCAAATCGACATTGTTAGATTCATTATGTAATATAGTTTCATAATCCCCTATATATATTTGGTATCGTAGACGTTAGTATTTTTTTAATATAAATTTGGTTAAATTTTGCAAAGAAATCTAAGTAGGGAATTAGGGAGTATTTAACCAAAAACTAACACAATTCATGGATCCGTGCCCACAAACTATCACTTTACGAATTTGTGCCGAAAACTATCACTTTTTTTTCTAATCCTTTGCTAAAAACTACAAGTAAAATAGTAGTTTATGGGCACGGATCCATGAATTGTGGTAGTTTTTGGTTAAATAATCGGAATTAGAAGGATACATCAATTAGCAGCAAGGTTTAATTTATTTGGTTTTTCCAAAGAAACATCAATTTAGTAAACTAATCCATTGGAAAAGTACTACTACCAGATTTATTAGGTTAATTATGCTGCTATGTTGTAATACTCCCCCCGGTCCTTTTTACTCTGCATATTAGATTTGGATCAAGTCAAACTTTGCAAAGCTTGACCAAATATATATTAAAAAATATCAATATCTACCATACCAAATATATATCTCATGAAACTACATTTCGTAATGAATCTAACAAAATTGATTTGACATCGTAAATGTTAATATTTTTTTCTATAAATTCGGTCAAAGTAAAGATACTTTGACTTCAAACAAAACTTATATGCAGGCTAAAAAGAACCGGAGGAAGTACATCGAAAAAGTACTAGCAGTAGAGGAACTGTATGTTCGTGTACCTTTAGACTTGACCCCTAGATCACGCACAAATAACGGACTCAATGGCCTGGCTCCTTGGCAGAATTAACACTATGGCAAAACACCGCGGAAGCAACCTCCTTCTCTTCATGATCTGCATAGATTCTTAGGGCCCGGCGGCTGGCAAACGGGGGCAGCGCCCGGCGGCTGGACTGCAGGAGCAACAAGACGACGAGCGGCGGCAGGAGCCCTAGCTGATGGATCGATCTTGAAAATTAGACTAACGACACAAATATCATATTTCCTCCGTTCTATAATGTAGTGCATATAGATTTTCTACAAAGTCAAATTTTATAAATTTTGACCATATTTATAGAGAAAACTATTTATATCTACAATATCAAATGTATATAATATGAAAGTATGTCTTGTGATGTATCTAAGCACATGTATTTGATATTCTAGATGTATATGATTTTCTCTACAAATTTGGTCATTTTTGATAAAGTTTGATTTAAAAAAAAATCTATATGCGCTATATTGAGAAACGGATGGAGTACTTGTAGGCTTTCCGGTCAAAGTGGGCAGATGGGCTACCACTTGGGCTTCGGTTAGTACGCCACGCAAGTATTGGCTTTGGGCTTAATTACTAATTAAGCAGCTATTATGAACGGTAGAGTATACTACGGCCCAGTTCTTTTGAGCATATTGTGGAGAATTTTGGTCTGGAAAATCTGGAGCCAAAAGAACTCGTTTTGACTTGAAAAATCTGGAGAGGATTCTCTAGAATCCTAGTGCAATCCAAAAGCATCCAAAAAGTTTGATTTTTCCAGAATCCTGAGATTCTGGCAAGTCTCACCAGTAAAAACGTTTCAAAATAGAAGAGTACCTCTATCCCATCGCGAAATTACACCAAGAATGCCACTGCCCATCCACGCGCTGGACCAGAGGAAACGAGCGAGCGGCCGCTCGACCCCTGTTCGCATCGGGGGGAAAAGGAGTCCCCAGAGCAGCGACGGCTAGGGTTGCTGTGCCGCCGCCGGACCAACCTCGCCGGCCAGGCCCTTGCCGCCGCCGCCCGCCTGGCCCTTGCCGTCGCCGGCCAGGTTCCCGCCGCCGCCCGCCCGCCTTATCTCCCTCCGTCGCCCCTCTTCCTTCGCTGCTCGTCCTCCCCTTCGCCGTTTCTCCGCCAACATCGACGGCCTAGCCACCGGCGCTGCACCTCGACGGCCACAAGTAGCCCACGCGAGGTGCAGACCACACCCACGGTGAGGCATCCTCTTTCCCCATCTATCTGTTCTTCTTTTTTCTTATGCTATGGATAGCTAGATTGATTTATGTTGCATAGGTAGATGGATTGATACTTGGATTTGTTAGATAGATGGATGGATTGATTGCTGATGCTGTTAGATGGATGGATGGTGCTAATTTTTTGCACCCAGATTGCTGATGCTGTTAGATGGATGGATGGATTTGTTAGATAGATGGATGGATGGATTGATTGTTGAATACAGCTTGTTTGCCTATTTACAAAAATGAAGAACTAGAAAGAGATATCCACAAGCATAATTTTCACTAATAATTCTAGTGTTGGGCACTTGGGTATACATCAAAAATAGGTGGGGTCTATGTAGAAGCGAGTACAACACATGGAAGACATTGATCCAGCAAGCATCTGGCTTAGGAAGAGATGAGCATACACACACTATTGCAGCTACAAATGAGTGGTGGGCATTGGAGATAAAGGTATTGTTGTTCTCGTGTAATTTCTTAAATAACGAGTCATGTTGCTTCGGTTTTGATATTAACCTATGGTGCTATGTGATTACAGGCACATCCAGAAGCTGCCAAGTTTCGCTATGCTCCACTAGCGGAGGAGGAAAAAATGTCAGAGGTTTTCGATACTACTTGTGTCACAAATGAGCATGCGAGGGTGCCAACTCCCTTGTATCAAGGTGATCCCTCTCGAATCAGTTTGGAGGATGACTCAGGGTGTGATAGTCATGAAAGCCAAGTTACCCCTGTTCAAAATTGAGCCAATGGTGGGAAGAAGAGGGCGTGTCCTTATTCGCCAAGTCCAAAGATGAATGACAAGTGGGCAAGTGAGAATGCTAAAAATGAGGCTTTTATACGCATGGTGGACATCTTTGGTGCAAGAGATAAGAGGGATGTAGAGGAGATTGCAAGGGAGAAGAGGGATGCAGAGGAGAGGGCAAGGGAGAAGAGGGATGAAGAGGAAAGGGCAAGGGAGAGGAGGGATGCAGAGAAGAGAGATGTAGAGGAGAGTGTGGATCCAACAAGAGAAGAGATTAAACAAATGATGGCCATGGTGGAAGAGGATGGTGCAAAACCAGGAAGTGATGAGCATTTCTATGCTACATTTCTTTTCATGGGAAAGAAATATCGTGATGTTTTCTCCACTTTCACGGCTCATGAATCTGTTGCAAGGCTTGGATGGATAAAAAGGATGTGGGAGCTCAATAATAAGTAGAACATCTATGTTTTAATTGCTTTCTACCAGACTATTTACTTATAATGTTGTGAGCTAAGCTACTTGCTTTGGAGGTGTACTTTTGTGAACTAAGCTATTTGCTTTGGAGATGTACTATTATCTGAACTGTGTTGTATCTATCTAATATTACACTATGTGCATGTTGTTGTGGCAGATGGATAAATTCAGAAAGAAACAAGAAGAAAAGGAATTTGAGGCGGCCATGCTTGCATTTGCTCTAGATGTGGCGTCATCAAGTGTGACACTGCCGTACGCACCAAGAAAATTACATCTTGTTACAGGCCTCCAGTGGGTAGAAGAGAAGGAGAAAGATGCAGAATCTTTCTATGCTATGTTCAGAATGAGGAGGTCAGTGTTTCGTACATTGCATGATCTGTTAGTTCAGAAGTAGGGGCTTGAGTCAACTTCCAACATTTCATCCAAAGAAGCATTGGCACAATTTTTATGGACTGTGGGTACATGTCAGACAACTGATAATGCCGCAGATCGGTTTGCACATAGTCGTTCTGTCATTAATAAAAAATTTCACGAGGTTTTGGAGTGTGTAGACCGCATGGCCGGTGATTACATAAGACCAATTGATCCAACTTTCTCTGAACCACACCCGGTACTTAGAAAAACAAAGTTTTGGCCTCACTTTCAACATGCTATTGGAGCCATTGATGGAACACACATTAAGGTGATTGTGCCAAAGGAGTTGGAGCCCCAACACAGGAATAGAAAAGGTTACACAGGCGAAAATGTATAGAGCGATGCCATAGTTCGTTATGATCACTTTCCACAACCCCTCACAGGTAACATCTCGCATGTATCCATATTGTTATATACAGGATGGTATGTT